TGGACCAACAACTTTCTGGAAAATTCAGAACAAGGGAAAATAAATATAAAGTGAAACCTTCTTACATAATCATCTTTTGAATTGTAAATTCAAAATAACCTACTTAAAATATATGTCATATATTCTGAGCTAACTATTTTCAATTAAACCAACAATTCAGACAAAATTTTCACAATGTCAAATATTGTACCCTTCTAAAAGCCATACACTATACAGTGCTTTAAAAACTGTCTCTTACAGCATAGAGTTGTTTTAAAAAATCATTATGCCTACATTCAAGAAGCTGTTTTTATTTCTTGTGTTTATTGTATTTTATTGAATAAACATATTTTGGTTATTGTGAAGGTATGCATTATTAAGCTTTTCTAAACATATGAACTGTTAAAATCTGTGTTGATAAATATTTTAGAATTTAAAAAATTACTTTCAAAATTTAAACATACAGAAATAGACTTACACTATATTTAATTATATCAGTCTGAAATACAACACATAAGATGTTTAATATCAACTAACTGTTGGGTTTTGTATGTATAAAACAGACAGGAGAAGTCCTTTTAAGAAATCCTTTTATTGGGCCCATCCTGCCTTTTATAAGGTTAAGTCACTAGACAGTACAGGAAGTAGCCTTCTGAGTCTCTAACAATTTACATTTTTAGCTCTCATACTACTTGTATAATCACAATGCAGAGGGAAAATATTGTATTGGTTTGTAATGTTTAATAATATTAAATATGTAAGCATTATATTTTAATTTATTTTGATAGCTTATTAAAACCATTATGGATCTATTTTAAGATTGTGAAAAATGTTAATATCAATTCGAGCTAGTCACTGATTTTAAATGTACCTGCTTCATTGAATAGAAAAAATAATGTGTAAGAAGTTTCAGTACAATTTACACTTGTTATTTTCTTAAGTATGTACAATGTTTCTTCATTTTGAAAAACTTAAATTTGATTCATAAACGAAAATATCTACAGTTAATATAGCACTGAGAATTGTACCATTTTTATAGCTTAAAAGTAGAAAGGTAGCAATATTTTCCTAATGAAAGGTAAATTATCCATTTGAGAGTGTGTGTGTGTGTGTGTGTGTGTGTGTGTGTGTGTGTGTGTGTGTGTGCGCGTGCACAGCTGTTAAGCTCAAGTGGTAGAGTCAAAAGCTACAAGGAAATTTCCAATGAAGGCAAAAATTTTCACTGCAGTGTAAATTTGGGGAATGCCCCTCATTTCTATTTTATTTGAGGAAGTAAAATCCTCTTATCTGTTTACCCTGACACCCAAGAAAGAGCTTAATATGTCACAACCCAATCTACCCTCTTCCTCTTTTCATGGCTTATTAAGCAAAATGGCAGGACTTTTTATGGTCTTTTCTGGTTCCAACCGTCTAAGATTCAAATAGAAGTAATGGCTTTTCTTGTTCAGTAATGTCCTGTTGAGGGAACACTTTTACTGTCCTTTTCTGTGAAGTCTTGCCTGTTTATCTAAAAAGAAATGAATTACATCCGGAGGACAAGGCCACAGAATAAAGCCATTTAGTTTTACAAATCTATTATGTCCTCCAATATATTTTATGGGCCTGGTCCTATTATAAAACAAAACAAAACAAAACCTAAAAAAAACAAAAACCCTTTTAACCTTTTCTTTCCCTTTTGCCTTCTCCAACATGAAACATGCAGTGACAAGGAACTGGACTTTTCAAATACAAACTTCTGAACTGTCAGAAACATTTTACTGGGACTTTACTGACTGTTGCTTCAATGAATTAAGCTTGATTCACTGCTGGTGAATCATTTTCAATACAGAGCTGTTAGGCAGTAATTGGCCAAGAATCCCTGCTGAGAAAAGCACTTGTCAAATAATGCTTGTTTACAAATATATCTCCAGACAGCAAAAAGTGGCAGTTACTGAATAAGTTCAGTGCCACCTCCAAAAATTCATAACAGTTGGCTTGCCCCTTTTCCTTATTAAATTTGTCAAAGTTGTCACTTGTTGATACAGCTTGCTATTATTATCCTGCTTGATCAGAGAAATGTTTCCTGCTGAATATTCCTCTGTGTTGTTTGATAACAAAAATTTTGCATGTATTTTAAATGTTTCCTCTCCATGGGGTTTATACCTGTAAAACACAACAACTATTTGTCTTGTAAATTGCTTAGAATCAAAGCTAAAAAGTAAATTTTCTGATTTTCAGTTTACAACAAATTGTCATTCTACACAAATCTCGTATGAACAATGTCTTTACTTTTTAAAAGATATATGGTTTTCTGTTCAATTCTACTTATGTTAAAAGTTATTTTTTAATAATCACTATACTATTAATTTAAAGAGAAAATTTACATTCTATATTTTCCTGTCTTGAAGCCTGATTTTTCTACATTATCAGAGCATTCCATATTACATGCATGTATAACATATATACACAACATTTTGGAAAATAGCTATGTAACTTTATAGGTTGGGAGAAAAATTACATGAATGTAAGTTACTAATGGATTTAATATGCAATTCAACTCTTTCTGCTCCATACATTTCAAGATTCTTCAAAAATCAATTGAAAAAAAATTAGCTTAAACAGCTAAATAAATAACAGAATGCTGAACATCTATTTTGGTGTTCTATGTATAACATTAGCAGAGAAAGCCAAAAAGAAGAATGTAGATTTCATAGAACCAAAACTAAATTCCAGGATCACAGTAACTGGAGGTTGAAAAACTGTTGGGCAGGATTGGTAGGAATTAGAAGGGGGTGGGGGGAGGGAAGGCACAAATCAGGTGAAGACTATATTTCTAATTACATAAAAGAGAAAAGGCCACAACATGTGAACCCAATAACAGGAATGCTTTTATTCTTGGGGTCTTCCAGAGGGGGAGGCGGAAAAGTGGCTGAATTTTGGGGGAGGCCTCTCCAATCCTCAGGTCACTGTGACCAAGTTTTGGTGTGTATTCAGTAAACTGGGAAGCTGTGAGCTCCAAATTTCACATCAGCCTGGCTCCTTGCTTCTCGATTCATGCTCTGCTTAAACATTAGAAGGCTGGTGGTGTTACCTCCCTGGCTTGCTTCCTGCTTCCTTCCTTTCCTGCTGCTTGATTTTCCTACCTGCGTGGACTTGGCCCTGGTTTCCCCCTTGGTGCCACCCTCCCTGAGAACTCTCCTTCCCCTTCTCATGGAGGGGACTCTCTTGTCTACCTCGGTTTTCCTCTCCCATCGCACATGGATTCCCCCCCCCCCCCCAAGACTGGAAATTAGAAACGGAAGACGAATGATGCTATAAACAGCTTAAAGTCAAACCAGGATGCCGCTGGCTAACATACAAACATTCCAAAAGTCCCCTAACCCTTCTGGGAACCTTTAGGTTTCTCACCTAATGAATCGAACATGGGATGATCATAAAACGTTTTAGGACCTCAGAAAACACTTTTCAACTTTATCCGGAAGGCAAAACACAGACTGCTGGGTTTGAGCATGGGAGGTTACGTCTCCACACACATACGCAATCCTTTGATCAGATTTCTTTTTAAAACCAAAGAGGTTGAAAGAGAGAAAGTTCCGTGGGTGGGGTGGGGGTGGGGGGCAGGATCTGCCTAGCTTTCGCTGGGCTCTCTGGGAACTGGGAACACTTGGATGGGAGTTCAGCGCCCTCACCTACTGCAGAGGCTGAGCCCTTGAGAGTCACAGGGACACACACCATCATGCCGCCTTGGTGGCGACCTCGTCTCCCAGGTCCAGCGCCAGCGCCGCCTCCCCCCTTCCCCACTCTCCCCCATCAGGGACTGGAAGGGATTTCTTTAAGGTAATCTTCACCCCAAAGCAAACCCTCAAGTGCTCTAACCAGGGAGGTGGCTTTTTACTGTTTTCCTAGAGAAGAAGTGCGCTCTGTGTAACCCCGATCCGGACCTGTGAAGCTGCGCTACCCCACCCCAAACCCCCACGAGAGATCAGCCTGTGAGCTGACACCCGAGCGCTGTCCAGCGATGACAGAGAGGGAGGTGGAGCCGCGGCTGGAGATGCATGGAGAAGGGGGCATCCGAGGGGCTGAGCACTGCTTCTCTGAGAGCAGGTGTCCTTTCCTGACAGTGCCCAGCCTTCCTCTCCTAGAGGGAGGCCAGCAGACTTCTGAGTTGGAGCACAGAAATTGGGGAGAGGGCTGGGCACCCCAGGACCCGGTGTCTGCTGGCTCAGGAGATGAGCCCTGCCTGGGGTCCAGCCACAACTCCTTGCAGTTGCCACCAGCCGCAACCCACCTTCCCGCCTTCTTCTAGCTGCGCTCCAGTGCCACAGTGACTTCCCCAAAGAGAATGGAACCCGTTCCATGAGGGAGTCTTCTATTTATTATGATTATTATCATCATCACTATTATTTGCTATCCTGTTCCCCTAAGAAATAAAAGCCCTCGCTGCCCTCCTAGATCAGCAGCAGCAGCTTTCCTAAATAACATCTCCCGAGATGGGCACTTAGCCCTCACTTTCACCGCCCTCATCCCCCCCCCCGTAAAAAGCATCAGCCACCCCCCCACACACAGCTGTTCCCATGACCAACATTAAATAACGGTTTCCATAAACCTTCATCAGCCCCCGAAGATCGTCATCTATGCTCTGCCTACTGAGCCCGAAATGCCACACTTCCCCAGCGCGCCCGCGCCCGGGGGGCCGCACCCAACCTCCCAGCGCGGGGTTCAAGACCCCCTCTTTGCTCCTTGGGGCTTACTTCCCAGCCCCCCAACCAGCCGCCGTCCACGCGCGCGGGTTCCTCGCCCAGCACTCTGCAGCTCGTGTCAAACAATGCAGCCCCCAAACGGGCGGAGAGCAGGAGCGAGCGAGAAGGGAACAGGCCAGCCACCGCGGAGGACCACGGATCTCCGTGGGAGATGAGGGGTGGGCTCGAGTGAGTGTGGAGCGCGGAGACCCGCACGCTCAGGCCCCCGCCTCACCCCTGCACCCTAGGTTGCCGCGGTCCCTCCCCCAATGCCCCCCTCCCCCCCCACCCCCCACCCTTTACCTTCGTTGCTGGGGCTGGCCAAAAGGGTCCGGAGTGCGGCGCACAGAAGAAGGCAAGTCCACAGGGGGGCCCGGCGAGGTGCGGAGTAGCAGCCGGCCAGGGACACCTGGGCGCGGGCAGTGTCCGCGCTGCTACCTGGGGTCCGCAGGAGTCCCGCACCCCGGGGCTCGGAGCCCCTCATTTTCTACTACCCTTCTCCCCTGCTACTGTCCGGAGCGAGCGGTTCAGTCCACGGCTCCCGCCTGGAGGAGGAGGCAAAGGAGACTCCGGAGGTGGGGAGGGGGGGGGGCGGTGGTCTTCCCGGTCCTGTGCCTCCTGGCACACGAGTCCTGCAAATGCGGGAACCACAGATCCGTTGAGACGGCTGAAGTTTGCTTTGGCTCCTTTCGGGCCCCGGGCTCGGCAGGAAGAAATGAATGACTAGTTCTGGTGGCTCGTTCAGTGCCGGATTGGGCTCGATCCAGGGAGTCCAAGGTGGCGTGGGGGTGGGGGGGCAGGGGTCCCACGACGTGTTCTTTTGCCTCTTTAGACTTTTTCCCCCACTCTTTTTTTTTTTTTTTTTGGAATGATGATGCTTTAAATGCCACTGGGCCGGGAAGGTGAAGGTTCTCTGCGCGTCTTCAGAGCTGAGATGCAGGAGGGTAAGGCAGACAAGTCATCTTAAAATCAAGACGAAATCTCTCTCCCCAGGGCAACAAGAGCAAGAACATAAAATAAAGGCAGGCTAAAGGAAGTGGGGTTGAGAACATGCGGGGTGGGGGGGAGGGTGGGGAACAGGGTAGGCGAGCCCAAGGCAAAGAGGCAGAGTTCAAAGAGGGCTGGAAAGAGCTGCGGGGCTGCGCGCGGGCGAGGGGCGGGACTGGCGGCGCCCGGAGCTGCTGCGGGCCCGGGCGGGCTCAGCGAGGAGGCGGTGAGTGCGCGCCGGCCCCCGCCGAGGCGGAGCGGGCGAAGGCGCGGGCGAGCCGGGTGCTGCCACGCCACCGCCACGGCGCGGCTCCCGCTGTGTCTGGAGCTCCGGCGGCTCTGCTGCCTGCGCACTCTGCGCCTCCCACTCCCTTCCCTCCTCCCCTCCTCCCCTTCTGCCTCCTCTCTCTTCGGCTCTTCTCCCTCCCCGCCCTGATTGCGCGCAGCCTCGCCAGCGAGCTTCTACTGGTGTGAGTTGCACACAGTACACACACACACACACACACACACACACACACACACACACACACACACACACACGCAGGGAAGTAATCAGCAGGCTGCCTTGGTGAGTGTTGCCTAGCGGTCTCTGGGAAAGATGCGTCTTCCTCCTCCCTGGATAATTAGGGCCAAGGAGCCTCCTGGTGATGCCAGCGAGGACCACGGTTGCCCACAGGCAGATGGAAAAATCAACCTCAGCTCAGCCCTCAGCTCCTATGGAAGCAGGTCCCTGAGGGTTTCGGGTTGATCTCCTCTCCGGCTGCCCCTCATGGGTTTGTGGCATCCCTAACCTTGGCTTCACATAGCTGAGCATTCGCAGGCTTGGCAGGTCGTGGCTAGTTTTTTAAACACCCATATGGCTCTGGCTACATTGACCCTTTCTGTTCTTCCCCCCTGCTTTTTTCTTTCTTTTCTTTCTTTTTTTGAAGGGGGAGGGTGAACTAGAATCGGGGTAATTATTTCCCATGCGCTTCACAAGCAAATTGTCGAATATCTAATTATAGAGGTGATAGGGCGGTCTGAGATTTCAGACAGTCAAAAGAATGTATTTGGTATGGAGATTTCTTCCCGGTGCCAGGTACTCTAAAGATGTCATAATTTAATTTTTATTTAATTTCGTGAAGAGAATGTGTTAGTATTTTTAAATTATAGGATGTGTAAACCCAAGTCATTAATTTCTGTGAAACTAGCATGGGTCAAATAATTTCAGAGTTTTACTTTTTTTCTAAGTATTTTAATTGCCTGTATTCTAGTACATCGAGGGAATTTGCAAATAACTAGGAGAAAACTGTTTAAGATGGTTTAATTTCTGTACCTGAGTTCTGTTAAACCTCTTTATAATATTTTTTCCAACTTATTTGTTTCACAGAGATCCATCAGTATACTTGGGTATACTGGCATTTGAAAAAAGACTGCAAACAAAAGGACTATAAAACCAAGAGTGAGATTAAAATGATATGCCATATCTCATTTAATACAGAACAAGTAGCCACTGTAGAAACACTGCTTGTATTCATGGGAAAGCTTGTATTCATGTCTCTAGACGTATGCCAGTCTTTGCACAATGTTTAGTTAATGCCATTTGCTTTTAAAACTATTTACAATAAAGACAAAGGAATAAAACGGTGGTGATGAAGTTTTGTGAAGAGGTGGGAAATCGTCTTTGATCTTATTTTCTGAAATGTTTTGGCACTACAAGTCTGAAATCAGCTTCATTATATTATAATGTGCTTCAGATGCAGGAAGCAAATGCAGAGGGATCTCAGGGAAACTGTCTTGTAGCTTGGCAGACAGTCTCACAGGGAGCCGGAAAGTTGAAATTTATGTTTCTATTGGAAGAACACTCAAGAAATAAGCCTCTCCCACACCCATTTATAGCTGAGTTACTTAAGCATTTCTAAACAGAATACCAAATACAATATCTAAAGTCAAGGGACACATAATAAAGTAGCTAATAGAAGAGGCAGTTTAATGGGGCTCTGAGCTAGGTACTTTCTTTGTATAGGCCTCAGAAACTCACTTAACAACAACAACAGAATTTATATGTGGTCTTCCAGCTTCCCTTTCTTCCCCATGTTCTGCATTCTTGTGTTACTACCCTTCTCTGTTCACCAGTCGCTAGCTATTTACTATGAATACAGTATAACTGAATTTCTTTAACGACTTCTGCAATACAAGCTTTATATAAACTTTGTATTTTATTTTTCTCTATAATTTGAAACTCAATTTTTATTTTCTCTAAATTGCCCCACATCTCTTTGATTTTTATAGATGCTATTATTCCATTCTATAGAAATTCCATCCTCAAAAACAGTTAATACCAGCCCTCTCCACACAAATATACAACTTTCATCTGAACTTTCCCCAGTATTCAAGGAGAGTCAGTCATAAAAGCCAGATTTCTGTCTTCCTCACAAAAAATGAGTTGCTTTTTGTTTTGTATATAGTCATGGTCTATGATTAACTATGACTAACCAAAAGTGTCAATGTGGTTAGAAATAATTATCAATATAGTTAGAAATAATTAGCTACCTGGGAACTGGTGATTCATGTCTATAATCATAGTTGCTAAGAAAGCTGAGACCTGAGGATCAAGGATCATGGTTCAAAGCCAGACTGAGCACAATTCATGAGACTTTTACCATCAATAACCACCTAAAACCCAGAAATGTAGTTCTGGCTCAAGTGTTAGAACACTTGTCTTGAGAAAAAAAAAATCTAAAAGACAATACCTAGGCTCTGAGTTCAAGACCTAGGGCACATACATACATACATATACATACATATGTGTGTATATATACATATATATAATTTACTAACAGTATATATGTTATATAAAGTGTCAAGTAGATGATGGAAACCAGTAATGCCAAGGAAATGGCACAGTTGTCACTATGGTCATAATTGTGTGCTCTCTACCTAAGATTGCTAATTTAAATAATTAATACACAATACAAGATCTTTCCTAGACCTCATATAAGTCCCTACCCTTCTTAGTTTAATATAACTTTAGAGAAAGTCACACTTGTTAAATGAATTGCAATGGCCCACAATCAAGGTTACTTTGCTGGTAAGGAACAATTGGTCACAGAATGCAATGTTGGTGGTTTGACTTGGGCCTCACTTTCAAAGTAGATCTTACATTTGCCCAAATGTCTTTATGTTGGCCTGTAGCTATGAAACATACTTACATGACCATAACATTGCATGAAAATAGACTTTCTCTTTCACACTGCTTTGCACACAGATATTGGCTTGGAGTCCTCATTGTTCACATTTCTCATTGCAAACAATGTCTCAAAAGGTGGAAGTAACTGATACTGTCCTGGATCTCCGCTTGCATATGGCTTCAATACTGTATTTTCTTGGGCAAAGGTTATTCAGAATATTATTGATAAGGTACCTTGAAAGACAACTATCCTTATAAATTGCTTCAGTAATATAGTATCAATACGCTAGATAGTCCTACATTCAAATTAGAACAGCAAAAACAATCTTAATAGTACTTACTGAGGGAGGGTTTGTGATGGATGTTTTTACATCACATATGCTGCCGCCATGGTAGGGATGTAAGTATTACCCCTGTGACAATGATGAGAAAAATGATAAAATGAGGTCAAGTGGTGTGGCTGGTAAGACATAAGCATTTTAACCTGTGGTACTAATTTTATTTATGAAAGTCCTAATGTAAAAACTGTAAATAATACATTTGACAACCAATTAGTCAACAAGATAAAAATTATCCCTAAAGATCTCCAATAATGAGAACAATTAATTGGTAAATATATTTCTATCATTTCTATATCATTTAAATCCAAAAGTAATTGAACAAATATTATAATCAATTTAGATAAAGAGACTAACCATCACAATTAAGCATTACTTAGAGAAAAAGACTGATTTACACAAAAGCATGAGCATTTTTTATTTTTTGTGTAATGGTTAGAATGGACCAAACCAAGACAAATAATATGATCATAGTCAGATAATATGAACAAAATTCTAATCAGGTAATAATAAAAGTCAGATAATACTAAAGTCAGATAATATTAACAAAATACAAAAGTACATGGTCAGGTGATAGTAATAAAAGTAGAAGTCACTGAACACATGTATAAACATGATAGAAATCAATACCAAGAATCTTCACAGCCTTGTTTAAAATGTTTTTGTCACATTGCTACAAACTCTTTGGAAACTTAGTGGAAAACAGAAACAAAATGAATGGGGGAATGAGAAACCAACCCTGTTGGAACTATAAATTGTATTATTGAACAGAGTTTTATCAGTCTATGACATGCTGAGATGAGCAGATATAATTTTCTGGTACTTTAAGGGATATAATGTGTTGGGCTGGGAAGGTGGCTCAGTGGTAGAGCGCTTGCCTTGCATGCCTGAGGCCCTGGGTTCGATTCCCCAGCACCACATAAACAAAAAGAAAAAAAGCCGGAAGTGGCGCTGTGGCTCAAGTGGTAGAACGCTAGCCTTAAGCTGAAG